TTTGTGAATGGATTTTGGAAACCCTTTAACCTCCAAATTTCTATGACACTTTCTTTTAAGGATGAGCCATTTCCTTGTCGCGCAGTCTTTCTCTTTGATTCAGTCTGTGAATGCTGCCAAACCACCACCTGCTGTGTCGTGGCCCCGCGTGCTCCCATTTCTGACCCCCCAGTTTTGCACATCCTGTCCTCAGACTCACCTAGTTCTCTCCTGCTGCCAGCTTTTCGTACCTGCTGTTCTCTCTGCCTAGAAAATCCTCTCTCTCCTTGCTTGACTAACCCTGCTTATCCTTCAGGACTCAGCTTGGACTCCATTTCCCCCAGGAAGCATGCCCTGACCCCCACATCAGAGCTGGCTGTCACTCTCCACCAGGCCCTCCCACGCCATCCTGTGCTCCTCCTCTCACAGGACTGCGGTCCCCCCGTTCGTCTCTCTGGGTCTCCACTAAACTAAAACGCTGAAGACAGGACTGCGTCCATCTCGTTCACCACTGTGTCCCCGATGCCTAGCAAACTGCCTCCTCGTAATAGGTACTTAATAAATATTTACAGAATGAACACATGAGTAATTTGACAGTCAGTAAACTGTACAATATTTCTATAACAGCCTTATAATAAGATTCTCAAGTTCCAAGTAAAATACTCAAGAGAATAATATCTAATGAAGTATTTTTAATCTGAGATAATTACAATCAGAATAGACCCACTCTTAATTTAAGCCAAGTTTGTTCTATTCATTTAATGCAGTTGGCTAAACAGAAACTCAAATAAGTGCTTGTTAATTATACTAATTAACAAATGGCTGAACTAAAATATATGAGTTATGTAAAACCCAGTTACCATCTGTAGTTACTACGCGCAGGGAGGAAGCCCAGAGTGAGTGAGGCCGTTTCTCAAAGGGGAGGTTTTGCTGCCTCAGCTGTTAGCGGGGTTTCTCTGAGCAGATTTCCAGACCCTCGATGCTGCACCTTCTGGTGACGGGGGATGCGGAGGGAGCAGTGTTACATCTCTGGAGGTTTTTTCTTCTCAACTCTCAGCAATGTTCAACTAAGGAATTTGATAGCCAGAACGAAAAGGGGCTATTGCATCCTACCATCCCCTAAGAGTCCCTCGGTGGAGCTCCCAGAGGCATGAAGAAAGCCAACAGAAGATGTCTTAAGGTTTCATCCTTACTTTACGCTCTATTTTATTTCATAAAGAAGTTTACTTGCCCAACATGGCATTACCGGCATTTATCTCAATAATCCTGGAATCCATATTTCAGCTCAAGTTACTTCCTTAGATAAACCCTCCCTGAACTCCTTCACCAGGTCAAATCCTACATATCCTTTGCCAGAATCATTAGCCTTTTATTTGTGTGTGTGTGTGTGAGGAAGATTGGCCCTGAGCTAACAGCTGTTGCCAGTGTCCTCTGTTTTATGTGGGATGCCTCCACAGCGTGGCTTGACCAGTGGTGCTAGGTCCGTGCCTGGGATCTGAACCCCTGAACTTTACTACGCCACCAGGCTGGCCCCAAACATTAAAAAAAAAAAATTGATTAATCTATCAAATTTCTCCAGAACTCTAGAACTCAAGGTCTGTGAGGACAGGAATTATATGTAGTTTTGCTCACCATTGTATCCCCAGGGCCTAGTACAGAATCTTTTGAATAACAAGTACTCCAAAAGATAGAGACCTGATTGGTAAAAGATCACAGAAGTCACTTCCCCCTAAGAGAATTTGTTGGGTTCAACAAATTCCAACTTTCATTTTGATGGCCTTGAAAGGTGATAGGAATAGAAATCACTTCACACAAGGTGGGAAGTCTAACAAGAGATGCTCCTTTCAACAAAGTGAAACTCAATGGCTACCCAGTGAGAATGAATTGGAAATGAACCCTTATGAGGACTTTGAGTCTGGGGTTAACCTGGGTATTCTAGAAACGTTCTAGACTTTGATTTATCTAACCAGTATGGTGGTGCACCAGCACCAGGCACTTGGCAGAAGCAGAAAACAAATTCTTGTATTAATCATACAAATAAATTTTCAAGTGTCATGACCAGCACATAGTCAAAGATAATCAGGTACACAAGGAAACCTAAAATCATGAGCACAAATCAGCAGGGCAACAGAAAACAAAAACAGACCCACAAAAACTCTACATGTTAGAATTACCAGAGAGTACACTACGCTTGGAAATTAAGAAACATATTTCTGAACTTCTTCATGATAGGAATTAGAATATATTTTAAGCCAAAGGACAATGAAAATATCACATACCAAAATTTCTGGTAAAACGATGCAGCCACTTCAGAAAATAGTTTGGCAATTCCTCAAAAAGTTAAACATAAGTTACTGTATGGCCCAGCAATTCTACTCCTAGGTATATACCAAGACAACTGAAAACATACGGTCACGCAAATGTTCATAGCAGCATTATTCACAATAGCCAAACAGTGTAAACAACCCAAATGTGTGTCAATTGATGAATGGATACACAAAATGTGGTATAGCCATATAACAATATTATTCAGTTATAAAAAGTAATGAAGCACTGATACACACTACAACATGGATGAACCTCAAAAACATTATGTTCAGTGAAAGACGCCAGACATTAAAAGTCACGTATAATTCCATTTATATGAAATATCCAGAATAGGCAAATGCATGGAGACAGAAAATAGATCAGTGGTCTCCAGGGGCTTGTGGGATGGAGAATAGGATGTGGCTATTAACGAGTATGGGATGTCTTTTTGTGATAATGAAAATGTTCTAGAATTAGATAGTGGTGATGGCTGTGCAACTCTATGAATATACTAAAACTACTGAATTGTACACCTTAAAAGGGTAAATTTTATAGTACGTGAATTATATCTCAATTTTTAAAAATTTGTGAGCTACAGCTATGTAAAAAAAGATTATAGCCTTAAATGCATATGTTAAACCATTCTTAATAGTCTGCCAGTAAGAATATTCTCTAATTTACTTACTATTCTTACTAGAAAGAATTTATACTGGTTTGCTTAATATTGTCACTAGTAAAGACATGCTTGAGACTATCTGCAAGAAGCATTAACCTATAAAAAGTAACACAGCAGATTTAAAAAGGACCAAGTAGAATTCTAGCAATAAAAAATACAATAATGGTACTAAAAACCTGATAGGAAGGTTTAACAAGAGATTAGACACAGCTGAAGAGAGAATTGGTTAACTGTGTGTCTGTCTTTCTGTCTATCTACATAATGTGTATATAGACATGAACATGTTTACCAAGACAGGGAGATAAGCAAACATGGCAAAATGTTGACAATTGGTGATCCTAGGTAAAGGGCACATGCATGTTCAGTGTACAAATGTACATTGAGTATTTCTTTCAACTATTCTGTTCTAAAACTTAAAAACTGGTGAAAAGTTAGCATTTACAATAGCAGAAAAATATCAAGAATGAAGGATTAAATCTTTAAAAAAGAAATAGAAGCCCTCTGTGGGGGAAATTATGAGTTTATTGAGAAACAGTAAGAGGAGATCTATACAAACAGAGATATACCATGTTCATGGATTTGAAGACTAAAGTTGTAAAATTTATAAGAATAGACCTGTTTAAACATAGAGATATACTGTGCTTATGGATTGGAAGATTACATTTGTAAAAATGTCCCCAAATTGGTTAACAGATTTAAATCACCTTTGATCAAAATCTAATAGGGCTTTAGAAAGAACTTTACAAGGTGCTTCTGAAATGCACATGGAAGAGAAAAGGGCCAAGAACAGAACACCACGTTTGGCTTCCGAACAACACACACTATTGTTTTGTTCCCACCTCAGTGGTGGCTCCCTCTCAGCCACCTTCCTTGGTTCCTCTGTTTCTTCTTGATCTCTTTATGTTAGAATGCCCCAGGGCTCAGGCCTTCAGCTGCTCTCTACTATCACAGTCACTCCTTTAGTGATTTCATCCAGGCTCATAGCTTTAAATAACAACCAATTACTAACTCCCAGCCTCCATTCCAATCTAGACTTCTCTCTCAAACTCAACTCTCATATCCAACTGCCTACTTGATATCTCCACTTGATCATCTAATAGACATCTGAAATTTAACCTCTCCAAAAATGAATGCCTCAAAAGTTTCTCTATATGTAACCTTCCTCATCTTGAAGTTGATGGCAACTTCATCTTGAATTTCGGTTGCTCAGTCCAATACCTGGGATTCCTCTTTGACTCCTCTCTTTCGCTCATGTATTTGATCTGACCCATCTGCAAATCCCCAAACTAATCACTTCTCACTGAACTTCACTATGCCCACCCTGGTTTGAGCCACCATCAGCTCTCATCTGAACAACTGCAACAGCCTTCTAATTGGCTTACCTGCCTCACCTCAGTCCCTGCGTCTCTCTCCCCCTCAAGCCAGAGCGATCACTTAGAACATGTCACATCACGTCATTTTTCACCCTAAACTCCTGTCATCATTTTTACTTCACAGAGTAAAAGCCAAAATTTCTAACGATGGTGTTCAAGAACCCATGCCATCTGGCGCTATTCCCTGCTCTTTCCCCCACGACCTCAGATCCCCACTCTCCCCTTCCTCACTCCACACCAGCCACACTGTCTCCTTGACACTCCTCAGCATGCCAAATATCCTCCCACTCTAGGTTCTTTGCACTGACAGTTCCCTCTTGTTCTTAACCCAGATTGCATGATGAAAATCAGTTTTGGTTTAGGAGTGACGCCTGGGCATTAGAATATTTTTCAAATGTTCCATATTTCTTCAAAATGATCGCTTAAATAAATAGTTTAGCCTTGAGTTGGTAATTGTTGAAACAGAGTGACGGGAACATGCAGCCCCTTACACTATTCTCTCAAATAAATATAAAACAAAATGAAATCTTCTCTGGTGACCCTAAGGTGCAACAGGTTGAGAAGCACGGCTCTATCATCCCCAGACTAGACCATTTTGTCCATAAATATAATAATTGAGACACATCTATTTGAAAGCCTGTCTTAATGAATTAAAACGATACATATAAGATGAAAAATACCAAATTTATTTTCTGAAATACAAGAAAAAAAAGAGTATACATTTGAATTCACTTTGCAATATACATTAACGATAACACCTGTTCCATGTCCTACTTGTCTCAAATGAACTCCCAACCACCCGTGTCATCCACAAGAAAAGAAAGATTTCTGGCCCTTGGTTTGCAGAGCCTGAAACCCGACACGAGAACATGTGACACGTACACCCCAGACTCACTCCTCCTCAGTCAAGGCAAAGGCTTGTTAATAATGAAGCTCCACAGAGTTGTAAAATAAAGGGCTTTTTATAGTCTACTTATCCAAAGGCTCTGCAATAGTCACTTGCAGTTTGAGGTCTTACCACAAATTTCACTGTTTACTATATTTTGAGGTCAAGTACAGAGCATGAAAGAATAAAATTCTTTTCAGTTTCAAATGAACTAATATCTAAATCTGATGATATTATCAAAGGGGATACTTTTTCTCTTTAAAAAATAAACCACCTGAATGAATTTACTGGTTTGAAAGATACTTGTTAACAAACCTGACAAAGAGAAATCAAACCATCACCCTATTTTCGCCACAGTGATGAGAATCTATAAAAGGTTAACTTCTTCGTCTTTGGCAAGTGTAACCCCATGAGTTACATCAAAAGTGGCTACTGGGATGATTAGACTGGATCTGAGCCCCCCTCAGAAGACTGGGGAAGCTGCAGAGAGCTGCTGATTTGAGGACTAGCCCCACCCATGCTCACCAGGTGGCTATTGATGACGTTCAGCTCCTGGATCACCATGCTCAGATCTTCGTGTAATTTGACTATCGCATTCTTTACCTCCCCTAGAAGACCCTTAATGGAATTCTTCACTTCAGGCTCCCTAGGCAGGCCTTTGCTTGTCTGAAAACCAGAACAGGACATAGAGGTGAAGGGGTCTACAGTTTGGGTGGAAAACTCTACCCAGTTACTGCTGGAAATGTGACTTTTCTTTTGAGCAGAATCAGAGTTATCTGGAAGAATTTCCAGTAGATTGAGGTTGTCATTTTCCTCTTCATCAGAAGACACTGGGCCTCCAGGAGCAAAGGGGTGATGAGCACTGGTTGCCTTATCTTTATCTTTAAAGGAGGCAGAAGAAGATGTTTGATGGGACAAAGTCCAGAAGGAAGGTCTCGCCAAAATCGGGGGTAAGAGATGAACAGACTTCCCTGGCGAGGCTGAATCAGGAGATGACATGGATAAAGTAGAAAAGGAGGATGTCCCCTCTGAGGCCGTTGAAACTGAAACGTACAAATGAGAGAGAAAGATTATGCAACACACAAAGGCGAGCAATAGCTAAAATAACTCTACAATGTAAAATCCTGTCTGGAAGGTCTCAACATAAAACTACTACTTAGAATTTTATATGTTAAATAGTCATAATAAGCCTAAAAGAAACCCAAAGCAGGAAATAGAGAAAATCTAAAGATGTATTATACATCAATAACACCATGGAAATGAAACTAAAATAGGATTATCAATATTCATCTTGACTTGCAAACCTTGCCCAACATATTTTTACACTACACTTATCAGAGAGAGAAGAAAAATAAAGTATTACACCCTATTCTACTGACTGCCAGAATTTTAAGTTGGCATTTAAAGTAAAAAGTCTGAAAAACCTGTAACTTAGATTCCTTCATCTTCTCTTTCTCTATAGAGAATATTATGGCAAAACGAACAACCAACTACAAGCACCCAAAAGCTGTGACACTAATCTTTTTCTCTCAATGGTCAAATATAGTCAAGACTGAAGTGCAACCATCTGAGACGCAGAACACTTTAGCACACCTACAGATATAATCATTTTTCTCACCAAGTAACTACAAGTAAAATAAAAAGCATTATAAAACTGTTTTCCATAAAATTATAGATTTGATAACATTTTAACCTCCTTTCAGGTAAAATCATAATAAATCTCCTCTTTCACACTGCATTCTAAATCATCATTCCCCAAACTGTGTTCTGAGGAACACTGTGTTCCCTGACGTGTAAAAAGACATTTTGTGAAAACGGCTTCGAAGTCGAATCAGACTGGGCAACTGCATATGGCCTCCCATTAGGAGGTTAACAACGTTCATTAGCGCATTTAAAGTTCTGAGAGATTTACAGTAATTGATTCAAGTGTTTTCCAAACTTTCTTGGATACAGAGCTTTTTATTGTCTCCTTGGAATATCTATTTACATTCATTTATGTATTAGGCGGTACAAATTGGCAAAATTCAGTTCTAAAGTCCCTGCATCTCACTCTGGACTTGCCATTAGGCCCCAGTGGCCTAGAGTGGTTAAGTTTGGCATGCTCTGCTTTGGCAGCCTGGGTTCAGTTCCGGGGCATGGACCTACATCACTAATCTTCAGTGGCCATGCTGTGGTAGCAGCTCACATACAAAAGGTGGAAGATTGGCAGCAGATGTTAGCTCAGGGCAAATCTTCCTCAGCAAAAACAAACAAACATTCACTGTAAGTCATAGAACAGGGAAATTAATGCTTGCCACTCAGCACATGACTTACCTGTCTATATTATTTTACCTGTTTCACATACTCATGTGCCTCTAAAGTGGACCTCCTACAAAAATGGAAGGCAGCTTCTGTTTTCTGCTTCCAAGCTCTCTGAGGCCTATCTCCAGGTCTCAGGAAAAATTCTAATCGCAAAACTTTTTGGGGATGAGGACACGGAAAGGAAAGCAGGAATTTCATCAGGAAGCGGTCAAGGCAAGACAGGTACACTTAAGAGTCTAGGCCAAGCTTGCCCAGGCTATCCTTGTATTAAAAGGAGGGTCTGATGGTCATGGGCAGGCCAGGGACGAAAGCCTCAGCCTATCTGTGTCCTGAGTCACAGGGCCACACTCTGGACTGGGAGGGCCCTTTGCATCACAGCAGCCATCTGACATGTTGCTTCCCCATCCTCCTGGGTTGGCTCTCCTGTTTTCTATATCCCATGTCTTTCTCCTTCTTGGTTTACTCTCATTTTGGAGTAGCACATTCTCCAGTAGTTCATTGAAAAAGGATGCAGGAGAAGTAAAAGTTTTGAGAACCTGCATGTCTGAAATGTCTGTATTCTACCTTTAGGCTTAATAATAATTTGGTTAGATAAAGAATTCTAAGTCGGAAATGCTTTTCTTTCAGAATTTTGAAGGCAAAATTCCACTGTCTTCTTGCTCCCAGTATTGCTGCTCAGAGCTGGAGCCACTCTAACCCTTATTCATGTACATAAGCTATTTTATCTGTGAAGTATTACAGAATTTCCTTTGTCTCCATTGCCTGAAGCTTCCCCACGTGCCCTAAGGGGGACTGTTTTCATTCACTGAGATCAACTGAAAGTCAACTGATTTTCAATCAGGCAGCTCACGTCCTTCGGATTTAGGACGTTTTCTTGGATGCTTTCTTCAGTTCTCGTCTCCTCTGTGTTTTCTCTGTTCCCTCTTTCTGAGCCTCCTCTTGTTCAGACAGATCTCCCGGGCTAGTCCTCTTCTCTCTCTATTTTTCTCTCTGTTTTCTCTACCTTTGTCTGTGCTTTACCTTAAGAGATTCTGTCAACTTTAGCTTCCAGTCCTACCAGCGAGTTGTTGCTTTCTGCTATTATATTTTTAATTTCCAGGAGCTATCTTTTTTGGTTCTCAGAAATTCTTTTTGTAACACCCTGTTCTTGTTTCACAGATGCAATAAATCCTCTTATCTCTCATCTCAATGTTGCATGTTAGAAGTTTCTTTCAGATGTCTGAAGCAAGGTACTTCTTGCTGCCGGCTTATGGTGAAGAACGGAGGATTACAAAGCTGACTGGAAGCTCTGAGTGCGTGTGGTGCTCGTCAACTCAGAGCTTCCGTGTATAGTCATTGAGGTGGGTTATTGGTGTGGGAGCTGCTAACGTCAATATCTTTAGTTGCTGCCTCTGAGGGGGTTAGGTTCTTGTGAGAACAGTTTTCCCGTCTCCTGCAGAGAAGGCAAAGATCTGGCTCCAGGGTGGAGGACTAGCAGGGAAGGGGGCCCGGGGTTCTCAGCATTCAGCATTGGTTTGCATTTGGTCACTAATCCTATAGTGGTTGTTATAGTACCTACATGCTCAGCTATACCTAGCATCTCTCATTCCAGAGACCCTCCATCTACCTTCTCCAGAAAACAAGTCTCTAGACTTCAGCCAGAGGTGGTGGGAGTGGGTGGGTATTCAGGGCAACTGTTCACGTGTTTGGCAAGGAGGAGAAAGCTAAGGATTTAACTGCTTTCCAAATGGCTGTTTTCTAGTTCTCTTTATTTAGCACCACCCTCCAATAATAACATGTAGAGTAGGTTTTATAACCCCTATTTTAAACATGAGTCAAATGAACCTCAAAGAGGCTAAAAAACTTTCCCCAGCTCACAAGGCTAAAAAGAGGCAGAGATGAGAGTCAAATTCAAGTCTCTGACGTCAGAGTCCATGACCTAAACCACTACGCTACACTGTCCACACCATTCCACTCTGTTAGAATGATTTTCACTCTATTACAGAATTAGGTTAAATTCTGGGTATAAAATTTATAAGGCAAGCAACCAGGATGGTGAGGGGACTTGACATCTTATCTATAGAGAATAGCTGATGAATATGCAAATCCTTACCCAAAAAGGCATAGTGGGAGAAAGGGTAAGAGGCTGTATTTAATTATTTGAAGACAGGCACAAAATCTTAATGATATTTATCTTACATTTCTTATATTGTGCATGAGTTAGAACTGGGGTCAACAGGTGAAAGTTACAGGAAAACAGATTTTAGCCCAATTAAAAAAAGAAAACTTTATAATAGTCCTGGTTTTCCACACATGAAATGCGCTGCTCTGGGAAATGGTGAGCTGCTTGATACTCACAGAGCTTGTGCACAGCCTGAAGGACCATTTGGCAGGAATGTTTCAGGCAAGATCTATGCATCAAGTGACAGAACTATATGTCTTTGATGAGACTCTAAGATTCTAGGACCCAAAACATGTCTGTTAGAGTGCTAAGAAACTCTTCCAGGCAGAGTTCGCTCTGGTCTAATGATTTAATAAGATGATTTAATAAGAAACACTTGAGCAGGCCAGGAGGAAAAGAATATTTGAGATAAATATTAATATAACGTTATATATTTAAAGATAACACAGTTATGTCAGTCACGTATATATGATACGATTAAAATACCTGCCATGTAACTTCATGCCAGTGGTCCTCAAGTTGTGCTTCCTAACCAACAGTAGCAGCATCACCTGGGAATTTGTTAGAAATGGAGCTCTTAGGCCCCCCCTAGACCAACTGAACCAGAAACAGGGCGGGGGGGGGGGCGGCTCAGAAAAGTGAGCTTTAACGAGCCTCCAGATGTTTCTGAAGCATGTAAAGTTTGGGATCACCGCTTTCTACTGTATGTCCACCCTTCTCCGCTTTGTTGCTGCAACTGCTGACTAAACAGCTCATCATTGTTTACAGTTGTGCAGCTTTGAGTCACGGGCTCCACGATGCTTTTGCTCAGAAAAAGCCACTTCATCTCTAATTGCTGCACACCAATTTACTTTTGTTTCCAAACACGCCACAGCTGTACCAGACACTTCCCGCCGCTCTCCAGGGTGCATCGCCTGGCCCACTCGCTCGCCCTTCTCTGGCTCGCTATCAGGTGATCCGGGCATCGTGTTAACAGTCACCTTCTTCATCCCGTCTACCCACCAGAGCTGACGTGCAGCAAATATTGCAAATAGGCTGCAATAAATGGCTGTATTTTAATATTTCCTTGTGTGACATACGCATGCCAATTAATGCGGCACTTGCTTAAAGACAGCACTGATAAAATTATTCCAAACGCTGATGTGTTATCTCTAACATTTTATACTCATGAATAACATTGGACCAGTTAATTATTATATGACAACTTTAAATTTAAAAAACATTTTGAAGAACTGTGCTGCAAAAATAAAATGACAAGTACATTCCTAGAACTATCTGAACTCTATTTAGCTGTAGTTGTAAATGTAAACTCTTCTGGGAGCTGAAGGTCCTGGTCAGCCAAACACTTTAAACCATTCATTGTGAAACAGAGGGGTTTTTTTTCATTCTCTGGTTCATCTCTTTTCAGTCTTCCTTGCTGATATATAATGGCTGTCAAGTTAACTACACATATGAATTAAAATATTCTGATTTTGTTCTGTGGTTAAAAAAATGTTACATTTTACACAAATGTTCAGAGCAGAATTAATCATAAAAGCCAAAAGTGGAAACAACTCAAATGTCCATCAACTGGTGAAGAGATAAATAAAATGTGTTCGTCTACACAATGGAATACTATTCAGCCATAAAAAGGAATGAAGCACTGACACATGCTACAACATGGACGAACCTTGAAAGCATTACACTAAGTGAAGGAAGCCAGACACAAAAGCCACACTGTATGATTTTACCATATGAAATGTCCAAAACAGACAAACCCATGGAGATAGAAAGTAGATTAGTCTCAGGAGTTAGAGGGAGGGAAGAATGGCAGTGACGGCTAATGGCTACAGGACTTTCTGGGGTGATGAAAATGAACTAAAAGAAACAACTTCCCAGAGGACAGCCATGCACAGAAGCCATCATGGCCATCACAGCCAGTACTAGTTGGTTTGTACATCAGCTGTCTCAGCAGAAAAGTTAATCTGGTGACAAAACTAAGCATCAGTTTTATTTTTAGGCTATTCAATTCCCAAAAATTCTGGAAAGGGCAGTAAGGAGAATCTTTTATTATTCACTCACCTTACTAGCCGCAAGGGAAATTTCTTTAACCTCAACATGTGGGCTTCCATTGTTTGTATTTCTATGGTACTTTTGATCCTAGTTTGGAGCGGTTTAAAAGATTTATACTGAAAATTTTATATTTATATGAGTTAGTAAGCGTTATTATACATAAGAACCAATAAAACGACTTAGTTCTTGAAAAATGCCTGAGCTAACAAATTATTCTTTTCCTAGTTAACTTAAAGAAGAAAGCATAATTAGAAAATGTAGGTTTTAATAACTGGCAGCCAACAACCTGGAAGCTCACCCGGCTTCATCCTTTCCCATCCAGTCTAAACAATATCGCAGCCCCCTTAATGTTTTCTAAGACAGAAAAAGGAAGAGATCCTCCACCCCAATCAGTACACAGCCCTTTTAAAACAAGACACACATACACATATAAACTGTGTGTATACACACCTATATACATAATAACTAATTTTTTCAGATATAGTAGTCTCTTAATAAGTAACCTAGATGTCTAACAGGAAGCTCTTATTTAATGCTGGTTCTTTCCAATTTGTTCTGCATCAAAAGTGCTCAGAACTTGTGCTTCAATCAAGGACTCCTAACTTATACTGAGGAACTGCCTATCAGCCCTATTTTAATAAAAGGGGCACTTTCCTAAATGAGAACTACCTTTATGGCGTGGACAGGTTTTGGTTTTTGCTTTTGCTTTGTTTTTAAATGTTTTTGCTGAGAAAGATTTGTCCTGAGCTAACATCTGTGCCAGTCTTCCTCTATTTTGTACGTGGGTCACCACCACAGCATGGCTGCGGATGAGAGGTGTAGGTCTGCGCCCAGGAACTAAGCTTGGGCCGCCAAAGCGGAGAGTACCCAACTTAACCACTAGGCCACAGGGCCAGCCCCAGCGTGGGTTTTAATACCACCAGATGCAGAGTGAAAGGAGGGAACAAAAAAATGAGACAGAAAGTAGCAAAAAGTAAAAGAAGAATGCTTTAAAGAGGCTTTTTTGTTTGTGGTTTTTTGTAGACTCACCCCACGCGGTTAAGGTCTTGAGGTTTTCCTCCTCCATCTGAACAACGCTGGATTCTGCTGGTTTCTGACAGTCCTTATTGATGACCATCTCCTTCACTGGGTCGAACACGTTGAATGAGGGAGAGACATAGAGTGTCTCTACAGAGGCCTGGTTATAGAAAGTAGAATCTGACTTTGATAGCCTTAAATTAGGGCTGATCAACTCTTCTTGATTCGATGGCCAAAATGCTGGTAAAGCTGTCAACGTTTCAAAACTTTTTCCAGCTGACTGTTTTTCTAGAGGTGTTTGCAAAGGGTTTTCTATTACAGTATTTGTAATGGTACTCTCTGATTTCTTGTCCAAACTCACATTTGTCTGCAGAGATGGGCTTTTTTCTGAGAGAACAAAGGAGGGAGGAGAAACAGCATCTGTAAAATAACAAATAAGAACTATAATCACACAATAAAACTGAAAATACTCTATTTAAATCCATTGCAATTTTAATACATCAGAGTTTTTAATGCCATGACAGAATTCTCTCCTATTTAGTTGTTTCTACTTTCTTACTCTGTTTCTATTCTGTCTATTTAAAGCATCTCCAAGCCATAACTGATGCACTAATCATTTGGTGGCTGCCATCTCTCTCTCTCCCAAGGAAAGCTTCAAATAACTTGACTTTAAATATTTCTCCCTTCACCCACTTATCTGTCTCTGCAACCATTGTATTTTTAGTACCTTCCAACTTTCATCTTCTACAAGATAAATGAGAGAATATACGCCACATCATACTGGTCTATCCCTACAGAACCCCCAGCTACAAAAAAAGTCTCTTTCCTCTGAAATAAAAAATGTCTTCTTGGCCTAGTGTCTATACAATGCTCAAGAAAGAAAATCACTCCTGTAGGCAGCAGCCTAATTTTAAGAAATCCTTTGGTCTACATGGGAGAAAAGAAGCAATGTTTCAGGGTCATTGTGATGATTACTAAAATATAAATTCCATCAGGTCAAGGATTGTGATATTGTGATTTATAAGAAAAATACATATTTGTTCATTCAGAAGACCAAAATATGTTTCTCATATATATTTGGTCTTCCTCCAAGGATCCTGACTCACAGCTCCCCAAACCCTTGGAACTTTCTAAGTGTGGACGGTAACAAAGGTGTCTCTTGTTACGTTAATGAAGTGACTTTTGGACCCACCTAAGGATGGCTGTGATTAGAGGGTTGGAACTTTCAGTCCCACCCTCCACCTCCAGGAAAGGGAGAGGGCCTGGAGACTGAATCAATCGCCAATGGCCATTATCCTCTGAAAATAAACTGGTACTCGAGTACTCAAAATGTTTCTCTGAGCTCTGTGAGCCACTCTAGCAAGTTAATCGAACCCAAGGAGCAGGTCTTGGGAACCTCTGATTTATAGCCAGTGGGTCAGAAGTACAGGTGACAACCTAGACTTGCAACTGGCATCTGCAGTCCAAGGAGGAGGTCGTGGAAGCCTCCAATCCACAGTCTGTTGGTTAGAAGCACAGGTAACAACCTGGGCTTGTGACTGGCATCTGAAGTAGGGGGGGTTGTCTTGTAGGATTGAACCCCTAACCTGTGGCATCTGATGCTATCTCCAGGTAGACAGTGTCAGAATTGAGTTGCATTGTAGGACACCCAGCTGGTGTCTGAGAACTGTGGGAGGTGTGGGGGGACCTTCCCCAAACGCATTGGAAATTAAGTCTCAGAACACCCAATTTAGGGATCTTTGTCCATTTTATGCATTAATATCACCATAGTACCTAGAATATAACAGATAAAGTACCCAGAATATAATACTCAAAATAATATTTATTACAAATAGAAGGAATTGAAAGAATTGCAAAGAATTGAAATTTTAGGTGGGTCTGATATAGGAAAATCTATTGAATCTATAAATTATGAGCCTGGTCCAAATTTCTAGATGCAAAATGTTATCAACACTCTCAGTGCTAGGGCTTGCTCTCAAATAGTTTCATCTGAAGTTAGATATGGAAAGAAAGAAAATTATTTTTAAGTGACAGAAGTCTTCTAAAGGAGAAAGCAGAACAAGGAATCAACAGTGATTCTAAATGCACAGTAGAGTACCTAAAAAAGAGAAAAATGTTTACTTAAACAGAAAGCTGAAGAAGGCTGAAGACTCTAGAAAGCAAGTTGTACTGGGTTTATATGCCACCAGCCTTGCTCCACTCCTGCTCTTTCTGTGCGACATGCCAAATGAATCCTCTTCAACTTAATCTCTATTCTAGTTATTTATAGTTCATGTTCAAAAATCCTTCAAAAACTCCCTCCTGTTTCAGTGACAAAGTCTAAATTCCTTGGGTTTTAAAGGCCCTCCATTGCTTATTTCCTGTCGCTACTGAACAGAAACTAACCCTCAGTCAGGCCATCTCTTCATTCCTCACGTACCCCATGTTCACCCAGGTCCCTTTACCCTCCTTCTCCACGTTACTTCATGTTTCTTTATCTTCATCACCATTGATTTCTCACCCTGCACTCCCACACTGGAACACCCTCCCCATTCTCTGCTTATTTAAATGCTACCAATTCCCTAAGGCCTGTCTCAAATAATTACCACTTCTGGAAGCTATTTCCAATCCTGTCTATCACTCAGTCCTAATCCTTCCCTCCTCTGAAATAATAAACATTTACTTCTGTAAACTCTTTTTTTCACCTAGTTATTTGCTGTATGGAGCCCACCACACATCACGTTAAGCTCCTACGTTCTGACTTCATAGCCTCCACTGTGCTTTTGTGTATAGGAGGCATGCAAATCTCTGTTAAATTTAATAATTCCTTAATTTGTAAATTATCTAATATCAATGTATGTGTTGACTTTGCATATAACAGCGTATACTGTATGTGAAGCTTAAGAATAAGAATGATCAATCAAGAAACACTTGTTGAGAACCTACTGTTTGCACTGGACTGCATTAGACTCTGGAGAAATATATAACCGGAAGTAATAGTTCCTATTGTCAATGAACTTAAGAGCAAGTGTGGATTTTATATAGATAGACAGGTAGACAGACAGAAAGAAAGAATATACATACATACTCGCATATACATATATATATATACACACACAAAAGCATATATATAATAAACACATAAAAATAACTAATAATACAAGTCACCAGTTCAATTTCACAATGTCTAGGAGATTGTAGGTTCTCAAGAAATTAGTGAACATAAAGAATATATTTGTTAAGTAAATAGGTCTTTTTCATGGGAAAAAAATTTGTATATTTGCATACAAATTTGTATAACATGTAATTTGCACATGTTTCAGTTTGTTACCCCAAAAACAGACTCTGAGAAAATGACTTGGATGCACATAGCTGATTTGGCTGGTGATCCCAAGAGCACAAGCAAGGGAATGGGAAAGGTTAAGACAAAAAAGGACCAAAGCCAACAGAGTGCATTACTGACCAGAGCACTACTGTGGGCAAACGAGGGTGAGTCCTGCTGAGTGCCTCAGCACTGGCCTTTCCCTAGTGGGAAAGTGGAATGTTTATTCAACGACTCTTGTTTGCACTGTTGAGAGTTGTCCCTGAAGCGCTAATTCTCTGGCACTCCTAGGCTGCCCTGCACTTAGGCTGAATAAGTCTCAGAGCTTCAGAGAAAACTCTCAAGTAGAGAAGCAGAGAGACACAGGCACTCTCAGCACACACGGGAACTGGTCACCAGACTGCGGTTGTGCTCAGAGGGAGGCCAGGAGAACACGGGGTGGGGCATTAACAGCTGTTGCTGCAGGATGTATCAACTTCTCTCCTCTCCTTCCCAAAAATGCCCTGACATGACAGAAGTGGAATAAAAAGGTAAATACCTCGAAGGACAAACAGAACAGGAGAGAAGAGAGGACAACTGAAGATAAGAGATGTCAACAAACTATTAGAAAAGGAAAAGTTGATGGAGTGAGGAAGCAAAACCCTAAACACGTGTAGAGGGAAAGCCAATGTGAAAGAGACCGATTCTCATCACAGAACTCCAAAAGGTTTCAGGAATGGGAGGATGAGGTATCTTGGGAGCCTGGGAATTTTATGGCTCATTATTTTGGGGAGAAGATCTCCATTTGTACAAAAGATAATTAGAGATATTTTTGTTGCTTAGCCATTCAAATATATGTAAAAGAATGTGTATGGATGCTGAGTAGCCAATGGATGGGCTGTGTCAGTTGTTAAGCTATTGTCTGTTAGCTTTGTGATACTAGGGCTGGGATGCCAAAAACCACATTTCTGCATTACTGGCTAAGTTTTTGTTAGGTTCTGCAAACACGAGGTGTTAGAGGGAGATTAGAAGGCTGGAATAGGAAGGACGGACTTACGCTTTCCTGTTGGCTTCCTGCTCCTCACAGCATCACCCTTGCTATGCTCCTTCACTCCATCAGCAACATTCTCTCTAGTCTGCATTTTCCCCCAACAATTGTAGAAGCAGCCTTATCAGGCCCCCCAAAGAACACTAGCACCAGCCGGCCAGAACCCTCTCCTAAGAGGGGTCACTACTCCACAGAGACCTTCCTCCAAGCTGCTAAATTCTAATAATTCCAACCTCTTCCCTTTGCTCCCCAAGTCCTAGGGCTGGTAGTTTATCCCTGCATTGCTACCTCATGATATCTTGGTATTTCCCTTTTCACTTTTTAATATCTAATCAACATCCTTTATATTAATTTCTCTCTATTGTATTACATCTTTGTAGTAATGGCAGAGTAGTTCTTACTGGGCCAATCTTCCTGTAGATAACAGCTAGAAACTCTAGACAATATATAAAACACCAAGTACCTGAAGGTTTAGGAGAGTGACCAAAAGCAGGCAGAAATGGAAGGGGTCAACACTTGGAAGAAATGAAGAGGCTGGGTGAGTTTCCTGTTTTTCCAACTCATCACGTGAGTTCCAGTCAGCTCTATACCAGGTGCTAAAATTTGACTAAACCTATGGTCTCACCAGCTTAAAGATCCAGAGGACAGGGTTTGAAGCTACCACAGCACTGGAAAGTAGGGTGTGAAATCCCAGTAAACAGAGAGCCACAGAGGAAACCAGACCTATTACCATCATAGTCAAACTGCTGACAACTAAACCTAAAAAAGAAAATATTCAAAGCATCCACAGAGAGATGATGCATTGCATAGGAGGGAAGAATGATATGAATGACAGCTGACTTTTCATCAGAAACAATGGAGGTTAGAAAACAGTGGAATAACAGGTGTGTAGGGGTGTGTGTGTGTGTGTGTGTGTTATATAATGCTGAAAGGAAAACTGTCAATATAGAACTCTATATCCAACAATTATATCCTTCAAAATTGAAGGCAAAATAAAAATATGTTCAGCTCAACAAAAGCTAAGAGGATTAATTGCTTGCAGGCCTCTATAACAAGAAATGCTAAAGGAAGTACTTCAGGTTGAAGAGAAAT